ACTCCTCCCACCTCTGAGTTTTTGCTTCAGCCACTGCCCGCGAGAATAGAATAACAAATGAACTGAACATGACACAGGAACACAGGAAAACTAAGAACGCTGGGTCAAATGACCCAGAATCTTGACACATACAAGGCCTTGAATAATCAGGCCCATCTCATCTTAATGACCTTGTAGTACCATATCACCCGATTAGAGCACTACGCTCTCGCACTGCAGGCTTACTTGTTGTTCCTAGAGTATTTAAAAGTATGGCAGGCAGAGCCTTCAGTTTTCAGGCCCCTCTTCTGTGAAAGCAGCTTTCAGTTTGGAAATGGGACACTATCTCTACTTTTAAGATTAGGCTTTAAACTTTCCTTTTTGCTAAACGTATAGTTAGGGCTGGACCAGGTGACCCTGAATTCCCCCTTAGTTACTCAGCAATTGACTGCTGAGTAACTAAGGCTGCTGGCGGCTTATTATTATGCACTAATATTTTATCGTCATTCACCTTTTTCACTCACTATGTGTTTATATACATTGTTGTCAATCTTGGCTTATCCCGACCATCCTCTGCACCAACACTGGATAGGCAGTAGAGCATGGCTAAAATGATTAAATTCTTCATTAGTATTTACTGTGTTTTGTGTCCAGTTGGATCCAGGGCTGCAGATCAGATGATGAAGAGAAACCAGGTGAAAGCCTCTTTGGAGAGATGTCTGGAGAACGGGGTGAGAGACTTTTACTGTGATTTTGATAAAAATAAATCAGTGTGTTTTGCCTTGGCTTACATTTTTATTACCGACTAACATGAATCCCTTCAAACACATTCATAGATATTGGATTGTGAGTTTCTGTGATCAGCAGTCCCCAAACTTTTTTGTGCCACGGACCGGTTTATGTCCAACAATATTTTCACGGACCGGCCTTTAAGGTGTCGCGGATAAATGCAACAAAATAAAACCAGTACCCATACTAAAAAAAGAAGATTTATTCATAACACACGGGAAAAGACCCAGAGAAACCAAATTAACGATAAAAACGATAAAAAGAATAACGCTAAAAACCGACAAAAACCCTGAAAACCATGAATTTCACACCCAAGCCTGAACTCTCGCGGCCCGGTACCAAATGACTCATGGACGGGTACCAGTCCATGAGTCGGGGTTGGGGACTGAACAGAAAGTTGTGCATTGCACCTTAAAATGCATGAAGGTTGTGACAGCTGGACAGTGTGATGTGTAACTCTGACTGTATCTGCGTTACAGGTTTCAGCTCCTTGTCTGGACATGACGCTCAATGAGCTGCACGACCTGGCAACCCGACAGCAGCAGCAGATCAGTGCTCAGCAGCAGCTGCTGGCCTCCAAGGTAAAACACACCATACACAACTATTACTACTGTTACTACTACTGGTGTTACCACTTATATTGATGCTGATACTATTT